GATGTGTTAGCAGTTGTCACCTGTCTGTACTAGAAATCACAGAATCACAGAACGTTAGGGATTGGAAGGGACCTCAAAAGATCATCCAGTCCAATCCCCCTGCCGGAGCAGGAACACCTAGATGAGGTTGCACAGGAAGGCGTCCAGGCGGGTTTTGAATGTCTCCAGAGAAGGAGACTCCACGACCTCTCTGGGCAGCCTGTTCCAGTGCTCTGTTACCCTCACTGAGAAGAAGTTTCTTCTCAAATTTAAGTGGAACCTCCTGTGTTTCAGCTTGTCCTATCATTGTTTGTCACCGAGAAGAGCCTGGCTCCATCCTCGTGACACTCACCCTTTAAATATTTATAAACATGAATGAGAATGGGAAAGTTTAAACTGCTCATAAGTATCACTCAGGTTAAATGTAAATGTCAGATGACTTTCTTGTTATGTAATACAGTTTTGTTTCTTCAGCATAACTGAAAGTAAACATCCACAAAATAACTTTCACTAATACATAATACTTCCCCTGTTCTGTCTGCTGCCCCCCACCTCAAAAAACCCCCCAAAACAACAAAAAATCAACAATAACAAAAACCTCAGAGTTTTTATTGGAGTTGGTACAGCAACGTCCAGGTAGGTAGTACTGGGTTTTCACTAGTGTGGGGTGTTATGGGAAGTAAGGAATGAAGTCGGATCTGAGCAGGTAAATTCCTTGCTGTCTATTTGCCTATGTTTCGTGCAGTTGGGGCTGTCTGAGGAGGTTAAAACATAGCAGTTCATAGTGGTATGTGAATGAAGACTTCAAGGCTGTGGTAAGAGTGATACCTTGCTATAGTAGAATTAGAAATAACTGTTTCCTAACATGAGCCAGCAGTGTGGCCAGATGACCCAAGAAGGCCAACAGCATCCTGGCTTGTATCAGGAATAGTGTGGCCAGCAGGAGTAGGGAAGTGGTTGTGCCCCTGTACTTGGCACTGGTGAGGCTGCTCTTCAAATATTGTGTGCAGTTTTGGGCCCCTCACTACAAGAAGAACATTGAGGCACTGGAGTGTGTCCAGAGAGGGGCAATGAAACTGGTGAGGGGTCTGGAGGGAGTCCAGTCCAAGTCCTATGAGGAGCAGCTGAGGGAGTTGGGATTGTTTAGTTTAGAGAAGAGACCTTACTGGTCTCTACAACTACTCAAAAGAAGGGTGTAAAGAGGTGGATGTTGGTCTCTTCTTCCCTGTAGCTAGTGACAGAAGAAAAGGAAATGGCCTCAAGTTGCACCAGTGGAGATTTAGATTGGATATTAGGAAAAAATTATTTACTGAAAGAGTGGTCAAGCACTGGAACAGGCAGCCCAGGAAGGTGGTGGAGTCACCATCCCTGGAGGTGTTCAAGAAGTGCATGGATGTGGTACTCTGGGACACGGTTTAGTGGGCATGGTGGTGTTAGATTGATGGTTGGACTCCATGATCTTAAAGATATCTTCCAACCTTAATGATTCTATGATTTTATTTCAGTGTATGAGAGAATGCACATCCTTTACAGGCCACAGCACAAGACCCAAACTGGTACCTCCCCAGCTCCCTGACAGCTGCCCAACACCGCCCCCTCTGCAGCGCCACCTGTGCTTTTCTGCACCCCCATCCCCTCGGCGGACAGCTGCCCCAGCCCCAGGCCCATCCGTATTATGTATTAATAATGTAGTTATTAATACAGTTTTTGTGGTTTTTTTTAAGTTTGGTAATTGAGAGAACCTAAAAGTTATACTTTAATTTTATTCCAAACTTAGACTACTGAGTGATAGGATTTCCACGTCACAGCATGGATCTAACAGCACTTTTCCCAGTTGTATTACTGAAGCATCAGGTTGATAAAAAGGTGTTTATGAATAATTGGAGATATACTGCTGTTGCTCTTATGACTTCTAAGTGTTCCAGTGACAAGTTGTTAGAAAAAAAAATTTCATTTTGTATTTGAATCCCTGTATTGCACTAATTGGATAAATATTCATATGCAGAGTATTGAGATCAGTCATGTACAACAGTGTTTGTTAGTAATGCATCTTTGTTTGCAGAGTTTTTATTTAAGACTGGAGTAACAAAAAAAACCCACAAACCAAAACCAACAACAACAACAACAACAACAAAAACAAACAAAAAGCAAAAACCAAAAAACCCACCACCAACAAATTAAGAAACTTGAAAATAATGTTAGGTTTTCACTGTAGCTAAGAGATATGCACTGTACCAGTAACTGTTTTTTTTAATATTCTGATATGTTCTTTCCAATGAAAAGTCTGACCTTTTATTGCTTCTGACATATAAGTTGAACTTAGGGTAAAATACTGATGATTTGCAAAATGGATGCAGTACACAGTTTGACCTATTGTAGAGGTGAAGAATTTTTTTTCATCCAACCTTTCTGCTACTGTGTAACAAATATAATGATACAAGATCAAACAACAGCCAGTTGTGCCAGAATAAATTTTAAATTTAAAAGATAGTAAACATACATTTTTCTATCACATAATTAATTCAGTAAGCATAAACATAAAATAACACTATATATAGGATGTTCTTAAAGCATGGGTAGATTACTTTCCAATTGCTGTCATAATTTGGCTGCTTCTTTGCATATCATGTCATGAAAAGAATAAATTACTTATAGTTCATGATCAGCTGCATCATCATGTTCTTATGGCATAGTTAAGTGTTTCTTCCTATATATTGTTAACCCCATTGTGGAATGCTGGAAATAAGAGTTTTCATCTCAGGGAAAAGTAACATGTTACAGGGGAATATGTTTCTTATGTCTTGTGTCATGCAATTTTTATAAAACTAAACTTAAAATGGAGGAGAAGAAATAAAAATTCACATTTAAACGTAAATAAAGTAAGTAGTAGTTGTGGAACTCAGGAATATAGACTATTTTTATTTAGTGTCTTGTCCTGAAAGGAGAGAAAACTGGCCTACAATCACAATTCTTTTAAGCAATTCCTAGAAATATATTATAGATAATTTGAAATTTTAAACCAAGAGTTTAAAAGGTAACTAGTATTTCTTGTTGCCTAATTTTGCTTCCTTTCTTTTTCTTGTTTTTAATGCAGGAAAAAGGATACATGTTGAACATGTTCCCAAATTCTTCCAATCTGGGCTGCCCACCCTTCCCTCCAAGATGTCAACGAAAGAGTAATTTCTCCAATAGGCTTACTCGAAATAAACCACCTACTCTTCTCTCTCAGCAGCAGATTAATGATGCCCAGTTTCATTTACAGAATGCAGTGTAAGTACAGTAAGATTTGATAGTGGGGATTGGGTAGAAAAAGAGTTAACTGTATTTTGAAGGAGGTATTTCTGTTGATGGAGAATGTTTTTCACTGTTTCTAATATTAAATTGCATTAAACTTTAAAAAAATAGGAAAGTGTCATGTGTAAAAAGGGCTTTATCATTTCCGTTGGAGACCTGCAAGTTTTAATGTTCTCCTGCATTGTGCATGATGCGTGAGATGATATTGCACTGTTAATAATCCACAGTTCAGTTTTAAAGATCTTCAGTTTTATTTGTATACTGAGGAAAACAGGGAGGATATGAGAAGGGGAAGAAACATTTATTCTTTGGGCTAGATTTGAATACACCATAGTGTCTTTTAGACTCTTAAATTTAACATTATGTTAAGTTATGGTGTTTGCTAGCCTCTGCTTACACATGTGCTGCAAAGAATGACTATCTTCTATTTTTTTAAATGAAAAATATATACTGAAATATCTCTCCATTTTGAATAGAAAAGACATATGTGTTGCTTCTGAGAAGAAAATGACAGAACTAGCAGAGTTTAATATTAACTTAAGAAAAACTATCAACCCATAAAAAGCATCTTGGTTATCATATGAGTAATAGTTATGCATTGTAGTCTTTCCAGGACTCTTCCAAGTGGGAACAGTGCAGCTACTCCAGCTGCTACACCACAGCCATCAACTTTTGGAAATGGCAGTCCAGTACATACATCTGATGCCCCCACATCATTCCAAGGAACAAAGTAAGTTCTTTGTGTGATTAATTCTGGTTGTAATGTACCCGTGGTGAAGCTTATCCTATACTAATTTCTTGTGCAACTTGAATTTTGTTAGAAATTGCAGTACTGAATAAGATCTTTTTTGATGAAATGGGCCATTTCATGGCTCTTTTAAAGTGTTCATGTACCTGCTTCTGAGAATTTTAGTACTCAGTATGTATAAGTGACTTAGTATGTATAGTTTTTCTCTTCTAACAGCTGTAGCCTTACAGAACTGATTTATGTGTTTTATTTTAATACTATAATAGATCATAGTCTGTGTGTTCTTGACTAAAAGAGGGTTTATGTCAATAAATTGAGTGTGTTTTTTTCCTGTTAATTTGTCAAGTTAAGAGTGAGACTGCCCTCAATGGTTTATGGAAATTGTGATGCTTTTCTGATGACACACTAGACGTTTCTTCTGATTTTCTTATGTGATTATTTATTTTTCAAATACAAAGTGCTAAATTCAGTCATATGCAAGTGCTTTTTTTAAGCAGCATTTTATGGAAGCATAGTTTTTTCCACTTTTCAAAAACCTAAACATACTTCAATTGATATAACATCCTTTGTTACTTTAGTTGCAACAGGAAGAGAAATTTCAGATGAATGTATGGTTTTATTTCCTTTTAACATTCTAGAAAAAAATCATTACTTATCAGTTCAGAAATAGTAGTTGATATGTGTTTGTAATAGTTCTGTGAATCATCTGATAGGGAGGAAGCTTCATATAATGTCTTCAAAAGTATTTCCTGTATGCTATTTCTTCTGCAGATTTAAGAGATTCTGCAGATTGAATATATGTTAAGTTATAGTTGAGGATACAACTATCACATGAACTAAAGAAGATCCTGGTACTGTGCTGTGTTAGGAGATTTGCAGTCAGCTAGTCAATCTTTAGATCTTGAGTTGACTCTTCTTTCAGTACTTTTACTGAACGTGAGCTCATGCAAATTCTTCTCAGTCAAAATAGTCTAAAACAGCATTATGTTTTGATTTAATCTCACATTAAGAGTTCCTTTAAGATGGCAGATAGGTAATGTTCTCAAAACTAGTTTCGTACGTGAAAACTGAAATGATAACTTGAGGTCTCTTTAGTTCAGTTTTATCTTTAATAATACCATTTGTCCAGGTCCCCAAACTATCTTGATGCCAGCTATTCTGACTACAAGAAACTACTGCATTTTTACTAATAGTTAATCATTGATACATATGAACATTTGGTTTCATGATCTTTAATTAAAAAAATGTGAGTACCCCCGTGCTAGTTAACCGATGTACAAACAAAATGTTAATGTCCTCTATTAATCTTTACTGTGAATGGACCATGGTATTCAGCCACTGGTCAGCTTTCAGTACAGTTTCTAAATGAAGAGTTCAGATGCCAAGAGGCTGTCTGTAAGATCACTGTATCTCTGCAAATGTATTTGAATTCCTGTGACAAATGACTTAATGAGGAGATACAGACTAGTGTTTGAAAATGAGGCATTAGGTCTATGACCTGTGTAGCTTAATAATAATTAATTCAACTTGACAAATGAATAGTGTTTCTTTTTTGTCCAGATGACACAGTTTACTGTCCGTACAATCTAAGACACAGCAAATGCAACATTTTTAAAGGGCTATTGTGATAAGGTTTTTTCTCCCCTACCCACTACTGAGTTTATTTTAGTCATCACTGGATATTCAAAACTCACAAAACTCACTGTACTTTAATTTAAAAGTGCCCTGGTAAAAAAAAAAAAAAAAAAAATAAAATCTTGCTACCAAACTAATATGACCAGCTTTCCAAGCTGTCCTGCTTCACTGAACTTGCCATTTAGGTTTTGATTGGTTAATACAGACACTCTTGTAAAGCAGTTGCATCTATTCTCTTCAAGGGTAGCTGTGCTTTTGCAGTTGTGTGTTCTCTTTTCCCTTTCGAAGTTTATTTCACCTAATAACTAGGATGGGCGTGCCTTTTACTTTGTAGAGTATTTGCTTTTAGTGAAATAGTCACATTAACCATTGATATTTGTACTTTGTAGCAACTGTCTTACAATCATAGGTTGGAGCTTGCAAACTAGAGGAATTACTGTGTCTCTGCTGTTTGTTTTTTTTGTTTCTGTTTTTTAGGAGACTAAGTGAAGAAATTATTCCACATGCTGCCAAACGGCAGCGGTTTCGTTCACATCATTTTGAAAGAATTGTAGTTAACCAAGCAGTGCCTTTACCAGAAGAACGTAGATACTCCTTTCCAAGAACACTTTCCTCTCCACTGTTTGGGTCCTGTTACATGCCAGATACAACTGAATATGACCCCCTGTTGCAAGATACTTTGTTTCCAGACCCTAGATACATGAGGCTCCCTGTGGCCAAAGATAAGGTACTAGCTTTCAATGTGTTTGCTTTACATCTGCCTTCTGAGTAGGCAGGGTTCACAGGTGCTGTGCAGGCCACAAAAATATCTGCAGGGTTCTTTGGCAGTGTCATGAGGTTTCTGTTGTTGAACTATCATTAGAAGGAATATCAATAAATGTAGCTGCCACTGTGGTCCTACATTGTGTGTTTGGAGCAATTTGGGGACATAGGGGTGTTGTTTGGTTTCCATACTTAACGTCAGGAAACCTACATGTCTTCTTCAGGAAGCAGAAATTGAAGGAATGGTCCAGTTGTCACATGATTAGGAGTGAGGATTGTCCTGATAGGATAAAAACCCAACACCCTAGTAGTGTAAGAGAAGCCCATTCTGAATAAATAAAGTATTGGGCCTGTAAAGATGTCCTCTGTCTCTCCAGATGGAGATAATAGTTACTATCCTAGCTCTTACGGAATATAGAAGAGGATGTCTTCTTTAGGTGGACAGAGTTTGAACTGTGTTTTTTGTTCTTTTTTTTAATTAAAAAAAAAAGCGTGTGACTAATCAGTCATCATACTTTATCTGCACCAACATCACAGAAGATTTTATTGGTATAAACATGCCTGTTGACTGCAACACATAATGATGTTGTGAAAGAAACAGTTAATACTTTCTTCCACCAAAGATCTGACTAGTTTCTAAATAGTTTGTGTGGGATAAAAATAAAAAAGAAAGCTAACTTCAGTCAGTTCTAATATTTATTTTTCTCCCTGTTAATGTTAGGCAAACCGCTGACATTAAAAGTCAGCTGAAGATATCTCTGGTCTTTCACTGCTTATTCCCTGAAAGGCTTCAGATACTGATGAGGCAGAAATTACTGTGAATAGACATTTTATAACAGATTGAACAAATTTAAATTTAAAAACTTGGCAGAAATTTCTTTGTGGGAGTTGTTCAATATGGATTCCAGTGTGGTAGAATTCTAGACAATGGAATGATGCTGGATTTTTTTCTCTTAATGCAGTCTTCTGTGTTTCATGTAATTACATCTCTGGTAGGAAAGAATGTTCACTTCTGTGTATCTTTACTTTTTTGAATGTGTATGTCAAGTTAAGTCAGCAGATTTTGGAGTTATTTCAAGTATGTCAGCAGCAGACCTCTGATTTGAGCAGAAAAGAGCTCTGCAGAACAGAACTTGAGCGAGAAATTCAGCAAATTTTTCCAGGTGCGTTTTGAATTTGATTGCTTAAGATCAGTTTGAATGTTATTCGGATTTGCAGTACTTCCTTCCTCTTAAACTGATGCGTCACATCATTTTTTGTTCTGTGATTCTTCTGTTACAGAGAGCAAACTCTTTTTGGTTGGGTCCACACTGAATGGGTTTGGCACTCGCACCAGTGATGGTGATTTGTGCCTGGTGATTAAAGAAGAACCAGTAAGTTATTTAAAATGTATATAGTTAAAACAAAGTCTGTTTTTAAAATGTATGTGCTTTTTGAAGGCTAGATTCTAAAATGAGAAAAAAATGGTCAAATCATTTTAATTTAATAACATGTTTTTGACTCATAATAGCTATGAACTGTGGGCCAAATAATATTACAAATATTCATTTAACCCTATAAACTATTTAACCCAACAAGAAAATGAGAAAATAAGTGTTACCTTCACTCCATAAGTGAAAAAGCACAATAAAAAATAGGTAAACTGCCTAGAATAATGAAGAAAATTGTTTAGAGAACTCTTAACCCATTTTAGATGCAGGAAATACTTTCAGTAAGTACATTTTAAAAATTTCATTATTTAGGTTCATAACCACTAAATTTAGTGAGTAGGTCTAAGAAGGAATTTGATATGCAAAATATTTTCAGTATTTTTGGTGAGAGAAAATGTTTGAATAGAATGTAGGTTGGAAGAAAAGATGTAACAAAAAAGAAATCTAAATAGAGCATAATTTTGAAAGAATTGAAGCAATATTGAAAAGGAAGGAAAGAACGTTTTTGTCTAAGTGGGGCTAGGTTTTCATCAAGTTTTGATTTCTGACTGATAGTTTGCATTTGAATATGAATTGTTCTGTCTAGCTTTTGCAGCGCTAAATGTATATGTAGTCTGTGGAATGTAATGGTATGCATGTTCATGTGTTATTCTGAGAATTAATTTTATTTGAAAAATAAAGCATGCTTACTTGGAACATCTAAATGAGAGATAACCAACATCTTTGTTTAATTTTAATATCATATTTCAGGTAAATCAGAAGACTGAAGCAAGACATATACTCAGCTTAGTCCAAAAACACTTCAGTACTAAACTTTGTAAGTTCTTGGCTACAGTGAGGTGGTAAGATTATTGACAGTTTTGGAAGAAGTATCAATGCACATTTGAAACCAATTTATGTAACTGCATCTTGTCTAGCTCCTAATTGCAGTATTGTTTGGAGAAAAGCCATAAGTACTTAGTAATGTTACTTATCTTGGTGCTGATGGGTAGTGATTAGAAAAGTATAACAGTTGCCTTGCAAACTAGTAGACTTCAAGAACAGGTAGCATCTGAGATGACTTTCAGATTGTGGACCACAATTGGGGGTGGGAGGTAAGTAAATTTCTGTTTGAGAAATCTCTGCTAGTGAAATCTTACTACTCTTCTAGATTGCAGTGCCTTCCTGGGTGCAGTACTCTAAGAATTTTTAAAATAAGATGTCACTCACAGTAGACTCTGCAGAATTGAATTTTCTTGGGGGAGGGCCTTGATGTCAGTGAAATAATTAACTTAGGTGCCTAGTGAAGAAAATATTAAATGTCGACAGCAGCATGTACAGGAGAAACGGGTCAATTCATAGTTCTTATTATTGTTTACACTCCTTTCAGAGGGCGAATTCACATGGGCAGTTCTTGACTTAAATGTGAAAGCCTCCTACTTCAAAGAGGCTTTTGTACCATCCACTGAATTATAAAAGACCCTATCATTTGTTGGTATAAATGACTGTGTTCCCCTACTTCTCAGACTTGTGACACATTCTTTGGTGCCACTCTTTATATTGTTGTTCTGAACAATGCTGCAATGGTAAAAGGAACAAACCATAAACTTAAATGCAGATTTCGAAATTTCTTCATTGGCAAGTATGCATACCCTGATTGCAACAACTCATTTGAAGGGAGGCTTGCTAGATCCATTGCAGAATAGTCATCTGGTATTTAATAGCTTATTACTATTGTATATTGATGTTTGCATACAGTGTCTTATGAACTTAGTCTGGGTTTGCCTAGTATGCAGGTTGTTCCAGTGCTTTCTGAGAAGCACGGTGATATAATAGTTGAGGTTTTAGGGATCAGAAAGGAGCATCTAAATAAAGAATCACTCTGGTTTTTTTCAAGAGATTGTCTTCTGTGACAGAGCTTTAGCCAAAATCAAGATTGTTTGCCAGGGAATAAGAGTAGCAGAAAGGCATGATGATCATGTAGGAGCAATCCCTGAAGGTTTTCATTTGTGCCATTGCTCATTTTTGATGCTTTCCAAATTCTGTTATCTTGCAAGTACCTTTGGTCAACTTCATTTAATCAAAACATTCTTTGGAAGGTGAGGTAGGACAGAACACTGCTGATATTACTGCTCCTGTCAGTCCTGCTTACATACCTAAAGTACATCTCTCTTTGCTATGCAAGGCCTCTTAGATCACACTGTCATCATCCTAACATCACTGTGGGCGTGAATTCCTATACCCAGCCATCTGTCCTTGTATCTGTGTATGGATGTCCTGTGGACAGAACTGACAGACACAAATTGTTTGAAAATGCTTACCTGATTCAAAATGAAAAGGCTTTGCCATATGGGTCTTTCCATTTGGATTTAATTAACTTACAAACTGTAGCTCAACTGTGCTAAAGTTCAATACTTCTGAAACAAAGGTGTTGTCAGGTTATTTTGATTAAAGCTTATAGGCAAATATAACTGCTGTCATCCGTAATTTCAAAATAGCTCATGGCTTGGTTTTGGTTGGGAGTGGGGAGGAAGTTCCCCTAGGCTAGACTTCAGAAGCTATATGCTTTTTCTTTGCCTCTGGGGAAACAGTCTTAGCAGTATGTGCTTCAGTGCTGTCCTGCTGGCACTCCTGTGAGTTTGTGGAGTCAGGTTTACATGCTTAGAAACAGCTCTTCATTTTCAGCTCCAGATTGGCTGCTAAGTTCTTTTTTTAATAGAACTCCAGCTTAAGTGATTTTCCACTCTTCAGAAGTCAACTGCTGCTTGTAGATCCTGTCCTTTATGATTAAGTATGTACACTTAAAGAAAAAGCCTACAGAAGTTGTAACTCCTTTGGGGATTGATTCAACTTGAGAACTTAGTGTATTCTCAACAAGTGTGTGAGCTGTCATTAGACCTGTTCCTTGTTTCACACAAGAGAATTGAAATAAACATAGTTTGGGGCAAACATGAAAGCTAATAAAGTATGTGTCAAGATGTAAGAGAAGAAAGGAGGAGGAAAGATAAGATACTATTTAAACAGAGTTCTTGGCCTGGTTTTGTGAAAGAGTTAAAGGACAAAAAAATTAGGAGATTCGTGACATAGGTGATGTTCTAGAGCATTTTAAACCCTGTTCCAGCTCATTTCAGTTCAGCAACAAGTGTGAGCAAGGAATTTGAGCCGATCAGATTTAAAGTCTTAGAGCAGATGCTTTTCTGTGTTGTCATTCTGCATCTAGAATACTGACTGAAATGAAGATGTTCTTTTTTTTAATAGTCTAGTCACAGAGTAGGAAAAAGCTTCTAATATTTATTCACTAATTGTGGGATGTGTTAGTCTTAAAGGTGTGTATTTTGTTTCTTCTGGAGTAGAGAGATAAAAGGGTAGCAGTAATATATCATCTGTTTCAAAGACTAACACAGTACATGTAACTTCTTGACTTGTTCAGCTACCTGCACATTTTTTGTGTTTTTGGTTGGTTGGTTGGTTTGGCTTTTTGTTTGTTTTTTTACAGTATTAGCTAACATTCCCAGACTGTAAGCACAAGGCAGTGTCTTTTTGAAATGTGAAATTTGAATGTGGGGTGATAACTGTTACAATGTATTGAAGAGATCATAATCCAAACCACTGAGAGTAAATGCTAAACTGATTTAATCTCTTCAGATTTGTCTAGGCAGGATTCATTTGGAAAAACAACTGGGTTGACTGATGTTTACTCTCTGAATAAGAATGAAGAGCTCATTTTCTCTTTATATAACTAAGAGGTGCAGTAGTGCTGAGACTAGGATGTCAGAGTGGAATCTGCCTTACAGTTGTCTAGTGGGGAACGTGCTACACCTAGGACAAGCAAGGGAATTTGAACTCAAGTGAATGACCTTGAAGGGCTGTGCTGCTGAGTACACGAATTCCAGACGTCAACAATTAATTCATCCTGTGCTGTGTTGTACTCTCCTGGAGTCTTCATGACTCTGGATTCAGACTCCTGTGTTGCCTAGTTTCTCTTTCTACAGTACAACCCTATCTATGAGAGCAGGGTACATGTGCAGGATGCCAGACCTTTTTGATATATAACGTATTTGAGATTAATATTTTGCACAATCACTTAATCTTTTATTGTGTAGAAGAAAAGAAAGTCTTAAGATGTTTAATCTGAAAATTTGCATTAATAAGTTGTTTATGAAACAGTGTTTAGTTTGCTTTGAAATGGTTATACTCTTTTTTCACTACAGCTGAGGTGGAGCAATTATGTGGGATTCTTATGTTTATTTTGGTGTAGTCAAAATAGTCACATGTGCAAGGTCAGATAGCTAGTTTGCTAAGGCACTTAACCTGTATGTACATCAGAATTTCACATGCTGTGTTTGTGTCTGATACTTTCCTTGTATAGATGACAATCTAATGGACAACAGAGATTCTCCTATGAGTGTTGTTGGTGTCAGCCAAGAAAGAGGGTACCAGCAGCGAGTTACTGCCTTCTATCATCCTCTTTGCTGAGAAAGAGATTGGGATTATGTTTTGAGATTTTAAAATTTTTCTTAGCCAACTAATTTGCAGACTAGGATGTGTTTGGAAGTGGATTCCCACTAGAATGAGTTCATTTAACTTCTGAAGGGCACTTGAGAAAGGTCATAGTGAGGAAAGTTGAATTGCTCTGGTGCACATATAAGTACCCACTGTTGCCTACCATATACTAATGTATTAGGCATATTTGTCTTAAATTTGGTAGTGAAAGGAAAGGGGGCAGACAACTCTACACACTTTATAGCTTCACTTTGAGCTTCTGGAATGTTGGAGGAGGGATGCTTGGATGTGTCTGTGGGAGCAGCTAGAAAGAGGGGATGCTTGTGTAAGTTGTACCACATTGTACATTCAGTGAACATGGATTGGAGTTCTGTAAGATTCTTCCTTTAAAATCAGTAAGTTAGTAAGTTTTTCTCTTTTCTGAGTGTCAGTCTGTGTGTTGCTTAGGATCATACAATGCATTCAAATCCAGGTAAAGGATTACCTCAGGTCAAATCTGTATAAATGCATGTGTCTATTAAATGCTTTCAGAAAGTATCAAAAAGGAAAAAAAAGAAAATTTGCTTTAATTGGATATTTCACAGCAGGCTTTTACCAAAGCTGAAGTTGTCATCCAGATGCAACGGAGATGACACTTTTTAATCAAGGTTGCTATCTGAACTCATAGAAATACTTCTTCCCCACCACTTTCCCTCCATGAAGATAATCTTTTATTTAAGGTTATTTGTAGTCTGTATTACTTCTAGATTTGTCATACTTATGTTAATTTGAGGTTAACTTATAGAAGCAAGGTGCAAATTATGATAGGTGCAAATTCAAGTAGTCCTAGATTTTGCAAGAAAATAAATGACTAAAATTGTGCCTTTTGCCCAAATTTGTATCATGTAACCTACAGACTCTCCTTTTTTTTTTTTGTCTTTTCCATTACTTTCTTGGGCACATTTCTCATTCAAGATTATGGGCAACTGCTAAATATAGCCTGAGATATTGTCAAGAATAGGGAAATTGCAGGTAATATGACTGACACAGCAGTTTTTGGGAGTTGAGTGTGAAAGTACATTTGGTGGCACTGTATAAGCCTGGCTGAGGTGTGGATGGTTTGGCATTGAGCCTGGGTGTCTGTACTGTGTGGATAATCACCTGAGGTGCAGTCCTGTGATTGTGTATTGCGTGTCCTATCACCGTTAAGACAAATGGCCAATAAGGCTTATCCCATCTTTGATGGAAATTGTTGTTCTGTTTTCAGTAACAATTCAATAGGAAATGCATTTCTTAGTGTGTACTTTTATCAGTCAAGGAAGCAGTTCTTAAGGGAAGTTTAAGCATAATCAGGGCATAATGAAGACACAAGTTATGCTTAGTACTCTTATCAGTGAAATGCGTAATTTCAACTGTAAGCAAACTAGACACAATTAAAAAGTATGTGGCTGATCATGTGCCCATTGCTGCAATGTAGTGCAGAGATTAAGTGTCTGACCATCCTGGATGGGTATGTTCTTGATACCTTTTTTTGAAACTTAGTTACAACTATTCAGGATTTCTAGTACAAGTACTGCCCAGTGAAAGCATTTGTAGAACTGTATTCCTTAAGTTAACTTTTCTTGAATATAATTCCCACAGAAAAATCTTGTACTAGTGTTTTTCTGTAATGTTTAGTGCAGTTTTTCCCACAGACTTTTCTAGATTGAGTTTTTGCTGCAGTTGCTAAAGGTTATTTACTTTAGCATAATGCTTCTGAGAATATTTTTGCTGAACTTAAGCTACTGTTTACTATAAGTTAGTCAATGCAAATCCACTTCAGAATATTTTTTAAGATCAGCATCTTTCGTAAAACCTAATTTCATATTTTTCTCCCTTTTAGCAAGCTACATTGAGCGACCTCAGCTGATTCGAGCAAAGGTGCCAATAGTGAAGTTCAGGGATAAAGTCAGGCAAGTATTCTGTTCAACATAATTTTTTAGATTCTAATGCAGGAGAGTATTTTATATATGTACATATGTATATATAAAGTAGTCCCACTGAAGTAATGCTTTGTTGGTGTTGTACTATAGTTGTTTTGCATATTTGTACAAGCTAGCTTGGAGTGACAGTCAGCTTACTTCCTTGATGGCCGAAACACCTCTTATGGTTGAGATACTGTTTAGTTTCTGTGATGTGAATTAGTAGCAGTACTTATTTCTATGGGTTATTTGTACATACTGGACTCCAGCTGGGAAACAGTTCATGACAGAAAAATAGCTGTGGGAAGAAAACTGTTGTGAAAGGTAATTTTGCTTGCTGTTCAAACATAAATATTGAGCTTCTGAAGGACTAATTCAGTGTTTACACTATACAAACAAAACTAAATCAAATTTTAGTTTGTTGTTATTGTGTTGTTTTCTTGATTTTTAAAAAAGTGTTCATTTTAGAAGTGTATATTCTGTCTTCTAGGGAGGTATGCTGTCTTTAACAAAGTAGCATTGCATGTTCTATTCGGTGTTCGGTACTAATTTTATGGCCTTTTAAAAGGGGGAAGGAACTGGAAAGAAGTGAATGTATTGTATATTATTGTATTTGTTGTATCTTCATTACAAAGACAAGAAAAGGAATAATCAAAAGGGATGTTAGGACAGAGAAAGATTTCTTATTGTGTGTGATAAGCATGTGATAGAGGCACTCAAATTGGTAGACAGTTTGAGTGATGTTCAAATCTTTTTTATGGTTTGTAAACTTTTTTTAAGTATTGTAAAACTTATGAGTATCACCTTAAGGTAACAATATGGTTTGACTATTCTTTGAAAATAGGAGTTTGAAAAACTCTCTTGTATCTAACTGGTTTATCCTGCCTGTATACTTCTAAAATTCTGCAACTTTCTCTTTTAAAAACAAATTAGTCCACTTCTCTGGCCTGTATAAAAGCATATCACAATGTGCTTTTGTCACAGTATACCTTTATAAGGGCAGAAACCCTGCTGTGATAAAACTGAATCTGTCATGTTCACAAATTATGATTCTATTAATTTGAACTAATACATTTCATCCATTTATGCTTTTCTTGCATCTGAGATTATATATCACGTTAGGGTTTTTGCTTTATACTTTTTTTCATTTACACCTAATCTGTATACTTCCCTACATTTTAAAAATCTGAATAATTTTTATGTAATAACTTTATCCTCAAATAGTACAGAAGGCTGTTTCTTCTATGCTTTCTGAAGGTGTTAAACTTGTCAAGCTAAAATTGGGGTTATATGGCTCAACTACATATAACAATGCTAGTCTTATCATAGCTGCAGGAAATGGTAAATTTCTGGTACAAATATTTAATAAATAATAGGATTATAGCAAGGATGTTTTTCCCACTTAAAATCAGAAAATAACCTTTAAAAAGAAACTTCAAGTATGGAAGTGATTATGTGAGAAGATTGAAGTCTTTTTGTAAGCACTTAGATTCCATACCATGGTCACTTGCAGAAAAACTGTAATAGTCATATACCTTACATACAGAATTTAAAGAATTCTTTATTTCCTACTAAATCGAAGTATAAACTTCTTAGACTAGAAGCTGCCTATTACATTTTTCAGAGAAAAAACAGTACTGTTCACCATCTGGTTTCCTGTGTTTGTCTGGAAGAAGGGAACAGAGGGGAATATAATGACTTTGAGTTGAGGAGTTTCTTTGGAGTATTGTGTTTTATTTTATTTTTATTTTTTTTCTTATGTAACCTGTCACCTCCACCTATGTCCTGGCTTTTTATTTAAGCATTTGTCTCTTTCCAGTCTCTTAGTGGCCCTTGTCTTTGGTAGGCTTATACATATACATGTAGACTCATTCATTTTTACACAGAGGTCTTGAAAAATTGATTGGCTATTCTGTACCCAGGGCACTAAGTTTGTTTTAGTGAAAACCAGAAACTAAACATGACAAGCTTCCTGTGAAAGCCAGTTTGCTGCCTAGCTGCTGGGAGAAGATGGTAGAATTCAATGGGTTGTATCTCTGCATCTGGATTCTAATGTGTACCAATGGTCTATATATACCTAAACATTCAGTTTGTTTGTTCTCCTTCATCTTAAAGAGCTTTTTAGCAGTAAGGGAAGATAAGATCCATTGCACTCAGATTTATTACCTATATTATCTATTCTTTAGATATATTATCTATATCTATTTCCAAGGAAATAATTTCAGTACTGGCTCTGCTGCCAAACAAGACTTTGATTAATTAACAAGATTATCTATACTACAGAGAATGCAAAACCTTCATCTTCTGCTACATTTGATATGCAGTTGACTCTTTTCCTCTCCTTTTGTACTTTTAGTAGAACTTGAGTCCCAGCGGTAGAAAAACTTTTTCATTTGCAATAATTGCAACATCTATTAAATGTGCATATTAAAATACAAAGATAATTGCAATAGAACTTGCTTAACTGGCATCTGGTAAATAGTAATCTTGTCAATTGTGGTTAATTGGAACTACACATGCAGTGTGAAGTATTTATTTATTATATTTGCACATACAACTAATATTGTTACTGGTGTTCATGCATATTTTTACAACTCTCAAGCAGTAGCTCAAGCTTGTTTATTTGCTGTACTGTTATGTACTATGCTCTTAAAACATCTAAAAAGTCATGCCTGATACTAATTCAGGTTTTAAATAATATAATTTTTTTCGATGCAAAGAATGTTTTGATGTCATTAATGATGTCAAAAACCTTTTGTGGGCCTCAAATTAATGTTTTATCCAGTTTAATAAAGTTGAGGTTCCCGTTACAATAATGCAAGAAGATCCAAAGGAATATTCAGGCAAACAATGCTATGTAAATAAGACTTGGATATATAAAATGAAAATAGCTGTATATTGCAGATAGCTGGTACTTTGTCAATGATAGGTTCTTCTTGTTGTGAATTACTGTTGCTGTAGCTTACTGCCTGTGAATTTAATATTGTTTCTTGAGTACTGTGAGTACTTAAGCTCTATGTGCAGTGTGAAATTCAAACTTTGGGATGGGGCGTGATATAAATAAAGCAAGTAGTGGTTGTTTGCTTGTTCTTATTTGCTGTTAACAGCATGAAACAGCTATTAAAACTGTTTTATCACAAAATGTGCAATGCTACCTAATGAACACTTTTAATTTCAAAGTGCTTGCTGATTATCTCTGGCCATCATTGCAGAACAGAGGTTCTTACCTTTTGACTTCTTGCAATCCTCCTTCTCAGTTCATTGGTATGATTTCCTGAACTTATACCTCAGAGAGTCCATCCTGGTGTAAAAAGTTGTCCACAGTAAATCATGTAGTGCAAGTCTAAAAAAATCTGTTAAAAAGCCAAAACATATTTGATACATTTAAGTTGTCTTGAGATCTAAATTTAGATCTACATGCATTCTCTATGTAAAACAACAGTTACATTTTTATAGCAATGGGATTGAAGTGTATAAGCAATTCAAGTACTATAAACAAAACCAGAGAAGAAATCACAGCATCAAAGCTCTGAAGAAAATTTGTAAAGTTACATTTTTCCACCTCTGTCACTAAGAGTAATAAATATTCTGAAATTGGATACCATATTGCTTGATTATTTTTCTTTTCTCCTCCCCAATAGCTGTGTGGAGTTTGACTTGAATGTAAACAATGTTGTGGGGATAAGAAATACATTCCTTCTGAGAACCTATGCATACCGTAAGTGTTTTATGTATTTTCTGAGTTCTATAAACATTGCTTTTTGTATTTTGGTATTGATAGACTATTAAAATTCAGCTGAATATATTAGGTTACATATATATGTGTGTGTGTGTATATATGTGTGTGTGTATATATATATATACAGAATATATGCACATATTTTGCTGCATTGGATAGCTTTACAATAAGTTCTTGTTGCTCACCCTAAATATATGGAGGAAAGTGATATATCAGCTAGATATGTTTTGAATTAAATATTATAATATTCAGAAGATAACAAAGATCCTCTGTATTAAGGTCCACATACCTGCTATAAGGGCTGCTTCAGTATTCTGCAGATAGCAAGATCATTATACTAATGATTATTTAGCGGAATGATCTCAGGTTTCTTTTACTTGCTTAGAGCCACTGAAAGGATGTGTGGCTGATAGCTAGCTGTGTCTTTATGCTGATACTGAGTTTTTCCTTGGAAAATCCGAAATACTACTTCAGTTTTTATACTAATCCAAAATAAAACTGGTTTGTGTCTTCTCAGGAGTTTACATTTTAGGGAGAGATTGTGAAACAGACTTCTAAAGGGGAAGTAATAAGAGCAGCATTCAGCACTGAACTAATGTTTTCTTATTTAGCATCACAATGTCCTTTGACAGATAAATACATAAGGAGTGGGCCTCAGCCTAATTCTTCTAGGCCATTTGTAGTTCTTCTTTTAGCACCTTCATCAGTTCTTGCATACAGGAATTCCTTTCTATTTAGGGTAGGAAGTTACTCATAGAAGTTACCTTTATGAGTTAATTTTTATTAATACTTCAGTCAGAGTAGTTTCAGTGTTCAATATTTGTTACTAGGAGAGTCTACAACTTGTCCTGGATCAGTTGGCTAATTGTGATTTCTTCATATGTCCAGGAAGGCATATGCTTGGAGAAGGATTTCCTTGCAAGCTTAAAAACATTAGGGAACTATTCTTTGTCGTTACAGCTACAGGTGAGGAGTCACTTCACCAAGTGTGGTGTTGATATAGTTGTTCCTATGTTCTGCCACAGATTTCCTTTATTCCTCTCAGCAAACCACTGTAGTGCAGACAATAAGTCCAGATGTGAAAGAACAGTGGTAGGGATCCTAGTGTCCTGCCTTTTCTTCTGTTCTGCCTTGGTTCCTGCTTTTATGGCTAGCAAAATTAATTTTATGTCTCCTGATGAAGGATAATTATTATTTTATTGAAGTCAAGGAGTGAGTTAGTAGCTAAGGAAGTCTTGTGATTGGAAAGATTATCTCTTCAATGTGCTAGGCCTTCCTAAATAAGTGAACTGTATCAAGTCTGTCTTGTGCTTGACCCAGAAAAATGTCAGGTGACATAATGCAAACAAAAGTAAATGGAAACTTTTATCAGACTGTCTCTTTACGTACTTTTGTAAATTCTGTCAACTAGGGTGAATAGCAATAAAAGTATTAGCCTGCTCACTTAAATTTGTGGCTGAAGGGCTTCACCCTACATAGCGGAATAAAAGATCAAATTACCTCTCATGTGGAAGATGTGTGAGTATCTTTATTCCATTACAACAAATTAGATGCTCAAGCAAACAAGGGACTAGTTACCTTAGTGAACATGATTTTGAAAAAAACTCACAGGTATTTCTGTGGATACTTGCCTCTTTTGAAATCAGCCCTGCTATGTTGGTGGATAGATGATGTGGAAAACATCAAAGATATGGCAAAGTGAAGCAGAATGTCCACAGAAGATGTAGGTGAATTTAACAGAGCTAGAAACTGAAGTCTGTGCTGTTGTGTTACAGTTGTTTGCCTAAGGAGGCGTGTCTGCAATTAAATCAACAATTGATGGTGGCTATTTTTCAGTTAGTAGAAGCTGGAACTTTTAGCTTTGAGCAAATGACACTACTGAGCACTTTCTTGAGGGGATAGCTTGTTGACTGATGACAGTGTCAGGAAGAGTTTTGTGGCCATGTTGCACATTAACTTTGTTATATACTAATTAAAGGCATTAGACAGAAAACCTTATCTCTGAATAAAGTCAACTAAAAAGCGATCTTTTATACTGTGACACACACACAAAAGAAGTTCCATTTGACATTTGAGCCTATTTGCATTTTTCTCTCATGGAAAAATGTAATTTCAGTTAATGTGTGTTCATATGATGTTTGTACAGTAATTCTTCAGCATCTCACAATTAGTGTACTAATAGTCACATTTTTTTTAAACCAATTGTGGTAAGGAGCTTTGTTGCATCTAAGAGGTCTTCCAGAGCTAGGACTTTCATTCTGAGTAGAGTACCACTTACAGGGGCATGTGTGCTGAACCACTGTGAACGAGTTGTAAGGAAAATCACATGCTTGATAGGGTTTTCGGAATAACAGCACCCTGTTTTTGCCACAGCGGGTGCTGTTGTAAGATGTCTTCTGTCCTGGATGAAGTAATTATCTGTTGATATATTTCTGTCCTTGTGTGCAGAATACAGAACTTCTCACAATATCAGGTTAGAAAAGACACTTCAGAACATATAAGGCATTGTTAGTTCATTTTAAGGCACTTGACTGAGATCATGATCTGCCTCCATGCAGAGAAAAATCAAGTAGGCTGCAAGGTTCCTAGGAGGTGGTGGTGAGTGACATCTCCCTACAACAGATTACTACCTTAATTATAAGGCTATCTATATTTCCTAGAAATGCAGAAGATCATACCTCGAATATGACTGTATTTGTCTTTCGTCATGAAAAGCTTATGTCTTGATCTAATGAGTTAAGTGTCTAATAACTTATCTACATAAAAAGCTATTGAGGACAAAGCAAATTTAAAATTAATGTTTGTAATGCAGGGGATACTGCTTTCATGGATCCTGAGGAACTTCAGAATGAGCTCTGTGTCCTCCAAGCAGGAGAGTTCTTTTCCCTGCACTCAAAGATTTAATTAACCTAAATTAAAAAAAAAAATAAAAAAATAAATAGATGTGGTCTGTCCTGGCAGCAAGTTCATTGTACTAATTTTTCCTGAATTGACTGGAGAGCACTTAAAAGTAGAATGTGACACTGCTACATTGATGCATCCAGTTCTATCTTCTCTGCAAGTTTCCTGGCATACCTCTTCTAGTATGCGTGTGGATCTTACTACTCAAAAGACTGTTTTCAAATGCAAATTTTTTTCTGATTTTTGAGCTGGATAGTAGTTCTGGAATAACTAAATAAATTCTCGAAAATAGTTGCAAAAGGTGACCTTAGAATACAAGAGTATCAGGTTGATCAAGCAGCAACAAATATTAATTGATTGCTCTCTAGTTAAATGTGCTTTTTTCTGAGATGTATTTATTTTACTTGCAGTTGAGAATCGCGTTCGTCCATTAGTACTTGCTGTTAAGAAGTGGGCAAAATTTCATGACATAAATGATGCCAGTCGTGGTACTTTAAACAGCTATAGTCTCGTGTTGATGGTTTTGCACTATCTACAGAGTAAGTATTTTTTTGTATATGTTGAAACTGTCACCCTTAAGTTCATATTTTTGTAGTTTTCCTCTTTAAAGTTAAACACCAGCAGGAGTCATCTTACACACAAAAAAATCTGAAAATAAAGTGGATTTACTCTGTTTCCTTAGTGCGGCATTTTTCTTTAACAAGTGGACCTCTGCTCTGGAGGCAAAGTTACCAGCTTAAAAAATTAATTAAAAAATACATCAATGTACTTGTAGGACACTGTGTAATTATAAAAATCTCAAGCACTAGTTAACAAAAATTGCCTTTTAACAAGGGAAGAACCTGAACATTACAATTTTAGTGGTATTTGGTTGGTTGGTCTGTTTTAATTTAGGAACTTCAAGAAAAATTCAAGGGGATAACAAATGCTGTGGGATCACTTACCTGTCTTCTGATGAGTGAGCTACTGAACATGTGGGACGTGTATATGCAAGAATGCACTACCATGTGATTAGGTTTTTTTACTGATTACTCCCTTCTGTAAGGTGATAGATGTTGAAGACCTTTAGATGTTGAGAGATCTGACTGCCAGTGGCAGTATCTTCTCTTGTGACTTCAATATATTGAAACATCAAACATCTGTATGGAGCTGGAGACCTTTGCCTGAGAAACTAAGGATCCCTGTTGAGAATTCAAGAAACCCATGCAGTCCACAAATGTTTCTGAGGAATAGATTGAAATGAGCTTATCCCCCTGTTTCTGTCATTAAAAATAGTCCATGTTTGTGATTTTCTTTGTAGTTTAGAATTCTTGCTTAAGACTTAAGGAATCATTTAAGAAAACCTTTAACTTGGTATGAGTTTCTTGGTTGTTTTTTAGGAGATAACTGGCTTAACAAAGAAATGTAAGGAACTCTTCAAGTGCTTATAGAAGTATTTTCTTAATTCCTGTCAGTTCATGTATAGACTATATATTTTGCTGGTTGTATTCATCTTTGGTTTAAATTTTTGTAACATGCTGATTACCTTTGTTGTTTTAATGACAGCTGGTTCTTCACATTTTATGATCTTGTTTGTGGACAAATTACATAGGTTCTTATTTTAGACTTTTCCTCATTGTCAGGTTTTGTAGGCTTTAGTTTTGTTGTTGTTCTGGTTTTTTTGTTAAAATCAGGTAGAAACAATGTTCAGTTCCTCTGATGGCTTCTTTGGCCTCTCATGTAGATACTTGCTGTAGAGTGGATAGCCAACTATTTTAGTTTCAAGATTGTGCTACACTCGCTGTACTATGGTGGAAAGCTTTTTAGGCTAATTGGCTTAAGCTGGTGACTTGCTTTCAGCTGAACAGTATCTGTAATAGAGCACCTAGGAGGGTGTTTTGTGTATTTGGGATCCAGTTGGCTGGGTTACTTCTGAATTCTTTGCCCATGCTATATGCTTGTTATTAATATACTGCTCATGAAACCAGAAGGACATAAGCTAATCTATCCAGTGACAATGGATTTTTACCTTCATCTGCTGTTGTGGAATTCTATAGACTTATCTGTTTCTGTGCAAAAAAAGCAAATGTGAAGTCTGTTATCACAGCTCTGGAACCACCCGTAGGTGACTGAGTACTTCTAAGTAGATCCTCAGTACACACCAGGAAAAAAAAATAAACAAAAGATCTTGATTTGGAAGAGATGAAGTGACAGTGAACTTAAAAATGCCAAAGTGATTAATAGATACAAGATTGAAAGTGTTGGGAACTGGTGGATATGAAGATTGCTACGCAAAGGTGAAGCATAAGCAGGAGAGAAGTATCTTTACATGGCCTAGCAATTGGTGATAATCTTAGCAGTGATATGCATTTGATAGTTACTGTTACACTTTTAATGGAAACAGGCCTTTTCACTTGCAAATTTATTCTCCAAATCTATTTTCATTGTATCACAGTTACTCTAAAGACTTCTGTGGGGTGCTCTGTGCAATCATGGATAGCCAATTACTGATCTGTGCATAAAATTAACCCACAGAAGGGAACAGTTACAAGGAAGTAAAAGTGTGCAGGCTTGCCAGAATGTTAACAGCCCTGCAAGCATGAGGGCATTTGCTGTAGTCATCTGTTGCAGCTGCCACAGCAGTCTAGGGAAGGGAAAACAGAGTTTGAATAATCCTTTTCCTGCAAAACTGTGATCAGTCA